TTATGCTTGTTTGGACAACAAAGATTCTTAAGCTTTTATAAAATGATACGCTACTAAAATAAGGCGTTAGGAACCCAACGTTGAGTGTTCCCTGGAGAGTTGAAAGTTCAGTATGATTGCTCCTGTTTTGCCCCAGCCACATTAAAAGAGAATAGTAGTAGAGTTGGAAGGGCCCTATAAGGCCATCGAATCCAGCCCTCTGCTCTACTTCCACATGTGGTCACCCATCCAGCTGCAGGCCCTCACCTTTCCAGCTTAGCAAAGGTGACTTGACATGCTAGCTCGGTATATAGCTATGCAAGCAGGCATTGTTTTCATATAGACTATGGTGGACATGAGAACAATGAGTAGACACAAATCTTTTATTCTGCAGGCTTAAGAACAACGCGGGCACTGACATTAATCACAGGATTTTCAAGCCCCTTTAAATCCATTTTAGCTTTTCAATGAAGAGTCACTATTACCTAAAGAAATAAAAGAGTCACTGTAGAGGATACATTCATAAACACCTTAACTAATTTCTCCTGGTGCTCCACAAGTATTTGGCACTCCTAAGACAGTGGAGAAATAGCTGTTGGAAGAAATGAGATACACTGCTGTGAAGGAGGAGGAACCATCAGTCAGCTCCCCAGCTGGTACTACAGGGGATAGTTACCAAGCGCATTCTGTATTTCAATGGATTTCTCTGGAGTCAGCAAAATCTCCTTGCCATCATAAGGAGAACAGAAGTGTACTCCCTCCTCAGTCACTTGAGAGAGTGTTACCAGAGAGACCATCTGAAATCCACCACTGTCCTGCAGGAAGAGATTATATGATGAAAAGAACTGAAAGACAGAGAAGTGGCCTGCTCTAATACATTGGTCCCCCAAATCCTTGGGGGAGCTTAGTTTCATATAACCGAGCAAGTTCTTTTAATCTCAGACTGTTGGGAAAAGTCTGAATTAAAAGAACACCTTTGTGTCGCAGCTGTATTTATCTGATCCACAGCAATGCTACATTGAGACAATCTGTGTTCTTTCAACCCTCCAGCAGCAAGTAAAACTCCTTCTTATTTCTCTTCCTGTTGAGGCAAATAGCTCAATTTGCCCACAGCCACAGGGAAAGCCTTGTGGCAGAATAAGACGCAGTTCTCAGTCCTAACAGAAGTCAAACAGCAATGTATATTGTTTAGTGTAGCACTATTCCTTTTCCTGACTTCCATAAAGCCATCCCTGATGGACTGTGGGAATATGTGAGAAGGATCTTGGAATTGTTGTAGATCACAAGTTGAATATGAGCTAACAAGGGGATGTGGGTGCCAAAAGAATGCAATATAGTCCAAATGCTGTACTGGGCTGCATTAATAGAAGTACATCTTGCAAATCATGTGAGATTCTGGTTCTCCACTATCTGGCACTAGTTAGACCCCATTCCAAGTACTGTGTCCAGTTCTTCAAAAAAGATGCAGAAAAACTGGGAAAAGTTCAGAGGAGGGCAACCAAGATCATCACAGGGCTGGAAGCAAAGCCTTGTGAGGAGAGATTGAAAGAACTCAGCATGTTTAGCATGGAGAAGACAAGACTGAAGGGAGATATGATAGCACTCTTCTAGTACTTGAAAGATCGTCACACACAAGAAGGCCAGGGCCTCTTCTCCATCATCCCAGACTGCAGGACACAGAACAATGGGCTCAAGTTATGGGAAGCCAGATTCCAGCTAAGCATCTGGAAAAATTTCCTGAATGTTAGCACAATGGGAGCAATTAGCTAAGGTGGTTGTGGGGGCATTGAAGAGGCAGCTGGACAGCCACCTGTCATCTTGTAGTCCTGCACTAAGCAGGGGGTTGGACGCAATGGCCTCATGGGCCCCTTGTAACTCGACTGTTCTATGGTTCTCAACACCTTCAGCAAACGAAACTTTTCAAAAGGAAAGGGAGTATGCACTTTGCTACAGTCTTACAGCAGTCCTGTAAGATCTAAAAAGAGCCTGGATATGGAACATTTTAACAAGCCCTGCCCTGCATATGCAGATTTCCAATGCAAAGCTCTTCTTTTAACTGATGCAAGCTGTTCATATTTGGCATAAGACTTACCTAGTTCGGGTAATGATTTTCTATGCAATAACTTAGCTGCCAAGGAACAATAAGCATTTAACCATATCCCTGCTTCCCCAGATTTCATCTCAAATTCAGAGTCTGCTAAATGTCTTCTCAGGGTTTACCAAGCGCTTCCACACACACAACAGTGAATTACACTTGACAAAAGGATAATCTCTGTGCTCTCCTGGTTGGAGGCCTTCACTTCCATGTCTGCCACATAGGAAATTGCTTCTGGTTTCTGCCAGGGAAAAGCTTGGTTCCACTGACTTTCATTCTTACCGTTAGTAGGTTTTGTGGCCAGTTCATAAAGCCGTGGAGCCCACCAGCTTTTTTAATAAGCTCAGGTCCCTAGAGCAAAGAAAAAGAACAGCATCAGTCCTGCCCAGCACCAAAGAACCACACCATTCTCACAGGTCATACCAGCATGAATTCAGAGCATGGTCATCGACCACAGTATCCTTTCGGTAGAGCAAGGTCATTATAACCATTCAGACATCCCAGATTCAGCTGCCAGCAGAATCCAATAGCCAATGTTCCCAATGAATAAGAAAGTATCTGGTTTGAATCTTACCTCTGCTATAAAGTTATGATGATCTGGGGGCAAGCCAGTCTTTCTCAGCAACAGTCATCCAGGGGCAATATAGGGATACTGCTATCTTACACCAATGTTAGACAGTATACAAAAACAATATTTGTGCAAGGTGTTTTTATTCTCTAAAGTACAATGTAAATGATAGCTATTCTTTTCTGTTTGTGATAACTGTTAACTACAACAGTTATAACATGTTAACTGCAAGTCCCTTACAAGGCACTGACGTACATGCTGACAGTGGGAAGATGCAGAATTGCTCATAACAGGAGAATCTGATGTGGAATTTGGGAACAGGAATAGGTGGCAGGTGAGGATGAAACAGAACCATTATACAGCCCGTGTTTCAGCAGCTGATCAGAGCAGAGGAGCTGGTTACATTCACAAGAGCAAGGTAATTCAAATCACAAGACTATTCTCACATGAGATGCCAGCTTCCACCCCAATTATGGCAAAATGATTGAGGGCCAGGACAAGGGCAAGCAACAAGGCCTGGTAGACGTGTGCTGCCTACTAAGACTGGACTTCCTCGACAAGGGTAAAGGAAAGCTATTTCCTCTCCCTGTTCCCAAAATCTTGATCCCTTCTGAGGCAGTGGAGACAAGTTATTAGAGGGCACAAAGCTGTACTCCAATAGAATTTACCACTGGAAGGCTTGGGGTAGGTTTTATTTGTAATCAGTCTGATTTCCCTATTTCACTTTGAAATACTTTCTCCCAGTTACCTTTCTTGGTCACTACCTAGGGCCTTTTGGTGTTTGTTCTGTATTGCTGGGCAAGTTTACCAGCCTCTTCCATCAGAACACACACTTTCCGTTTATGGCACCATGGCATTGGTTGTAGGGATTTCCTGGATCATCAAGGCACAGGCAGGGCATGGGAGCAGAAGACCCTTTAATCCATTCCAAATTCAGGATCTTATTTTCCTTGGCTTACAAGGAAACCAAGAATGACCACAGCAAACTCCCCTTGGTAGAGGTTTGTATTCAGTGATGAAGTTCTCAGAAAGAGGTACTGCAGCCAAGCTTGCTTAAAGCTTGCCCTTTGGGCCTCAGCTACTCAATGCTGGGAGGAAGACATTCTACACATGCTGGGGGGGGGGATCCTATTTATAATGTGCCTATGGATGTGCCTTCCCCCAGGTGGAAATGAAAACTATGGAGAGAAATGAATGGACAAATCCAGGATTTGAACATAGATATGAATTAGCATCAGCAGTCCATCCCCAAACAAACAACAGTGGAGTTCATGGTCTTTCAGATTCAGCTCTTCTCTTCTGTGAAACATTTGGCCTGTTTGTTGCTAACATCTAAAACAACTCTAGAAATGCAGATTTCCCATGCCAGTACATCCCATCATCCTCTATTCTGAAAGCTGAAATGGTGAATTTTGGCAAGCCAGAAGTATAGTCCAGTATTAATATTTTACAATGGATGACCTTTATGAGAGCCTTGAAATATGGTTCAGCGTTCATAGCCACATGTCAAAGATAGGGCTGAGAGTGTTTTCAAGCCAATTTTTCCCCCTCCCATACACAATACCTCTCCAGTTGCAGCAAACAAAGCACTTTAAATAAACCATCCCCGCTACAGATACAAACCTAGTGCTTAACTGCGGTACTGCTTCGAACACTATTGTCTTCAACACATACATGTGACCCTGTCAAATGTCTAAAAAGTCGCCTAAGCACTCTCCCAAAACTTAAAACGTTCACATGCAACTGAAGTAGAACAAGAAGAAACCCTCCCTTTTGTATCCTTTTAAAGTGCTTTTATGACGGTCCTCATACATATAGTCAGTAAACCAAGATCGCCCTCGCCTTGTAGTGTTACCAAACGAGAAGGCAGGACACAAAGCAAAAGGGAAGAGATCAAGGCAGCTCGGCCCCGCTCAAATGCCCCGATGTCTCCGTCCGACAAATTAACAAGCCCACCAGGAGCGGGCCGAGGGGCTAGACTCACCGGGCGCATGCCCAGATGGTAGGTGTTGCCCAAGCACAGGCGGCATCCGAGCGCCTCCAGCTGCGTTGCGGTGAGGCCCTTCATGGTTCCCTGCGTGCCCACCGGCATAAAGACCGGGCTCTCCACAGTGCCGTGCGGCAGCCGCAGCTCGCAAGCGCGCGCTTTGGTGCGCCCGCATTCGGCCACGACGCGCAGCGCCAGAGCCGCCGCCGCCGCCATCGCCACCACGCTCCCGGGCGCCGGTCGTCACGCGGCCGCTGCCCCCCAAGGGCGGGGCGAAGAGCGGAGAGGCCCCGCGGCGCCAGTCTGCGCTCCGCCATATCCTCCTCCAAGAGCCGCCCCTCGACCCAGCGGCGTCATCGCCCGGACGCTCCTTGCAGACGTAGAGAAAAGAAAAACTTAGAGAGGCGGTGGGTGCACGATTCTTGAACTTTCGGTAGTGACTTCTCGGCCGAGTATTTGTGACCCTATCGGAGGGCTGCTGCTATTGGGCTATTTGGAGCGCGGCTCTGCCCTTTCAGAGGCTTAAACGTGAAAGCGCCTTAGCAGGGATGCCCTTACGTTTAGCTGCAGCACTGTGGCTGGCAGCTCGGCAAATCCATCGGGAAAAAATTCTGCCTATCTTGCTTTTTTTTAAAGTCACCGGAACTTCCCTCTAAAAAAGAATGGTCGCCCCATTAGAAAATATGTGGTTATAAAGACGCACGACAGAAACGGAGCAGCCTCGCCTGAGAGAACACCCATTTGTTCCTGAAGTTGTTTTGCATCCCTGTCTCTGTCAAAAATCTTTCGCTTCTGAGCCAACTCTTTATTTCTCAAACCTATATTGGTAGAATGAGGCCTGTTTTCATTTTTTGTGGCTGTCCCACAGTGTAGTATCCTCTTCCACCCACAAGTAGAAAAATTACTTGAGGCTAAATGGTTGAAAGTGAACTTCATTAAAATATTAAACAGAAAAAAACAGAGCAACCTGTCTTGAGTGAGTTCTGTGTGAGCAAAGTCAAGGATGCATGGCCCCATCCTGAATACAGGTTCCTTGGTGGGAAGGACAACTCCTTAATGGCCTGGATTCACTCATCAACAGAAGGTAGGCCCGCTCCTTGCTCTGGCAACAACTTGGTAGTGGGACTCTCACATTCACCCATCAAACTTTATGGACCTTAAACCATTTTTAAAAAGAAAAACGAAACAAAACAGCTCTTAGTGTTCCATTACATCCAACTGTGAGCAGTGGATTTACCTCTCCACGGGAGAATTTGTTGAAAAATCAACGTCAGACGGCACGACTCCAAGCAGCACTAGTTTATTAAATACATTTTGCAAAATCGGTGTCCCAAGCAAGTAGGCACACCAAGCACAGCTCGCCATTCTTTTTTATTCCCTATCCCCATCCACAAAAAGCCTCCCCTTTTTCCCCATATGCTGGGTACTGGAAGGTTCACAGTCTTTCCATCCGCCTACTTCATGCAATTCCTGCCTCATGCCATTGCCATCTACATACATTGCATGTGCATTATAATTAGCCCATTGTCTATTCAGGGTGTGTGAGTTAATATTCATCAACCTATTATGCCTATGTGCTTATAACTACAAGTTCACTAGTTCACTCCTCTCCGACTTCATCTTGCCCTATGACCACCTATCTCATAAAACTACTGGGAGGATGAGATAGGAAGTAGCAAACTTTCTTTCAGTCCTGGACCTGGTGCTCTTCAACATCTTTATTAATGATTTAGATGAGGAAGTACAAGGAAAGATAATCAAATTCTCAGATGATACAAACTGGGCGGAATAGCAAGCACCCTAGAAGACAGAATGAAGATCCAGGGCAATCTTGATGTACACTGGGCTGAAAGCAATAGAATGAGATTCAGTAAGGACACGTGCCATGTCCTCTACCAAGGAAAAAGAAAATGAAGGTGTCAGAATCCCAGAATCTCAATTTGAGAAGAGGGAATAAAACTCAGGTTCGTGGAAAAGACCAAGCGTCCAAATCATCTGAGGCTTTGTTGTATTTACCCCAAGGTTCCTGCGGTACTCGCGATAATGCATGCATTACCGGGCAAGCAGAGGTGAACTCTGCTGCAAAGCTTCAATACCATTACAGGGCATTTATGGGTACACAGGTACAGGGCAATCGATGACAGAATGCAGAGATTACAATAAGATTCTGAGGTCATCACATACAGAACAGATAAAGGAATGTCAGTCAATCATACAGTAACAATGAGATCACAATATTTCTAATTGCCTGTATTGACACTTTAGTTCAGTAGCTTGAACCCATCTCCAGGTCTGCTTAGACATGTAAATTCAAGCTACTGAAACTATGCATGAACTCAAGACTCTTATCTACTCTAGATATTCTGAATTGGCCAGGGCACATGGAGTCTCTGGGCTATCAAAAGATACTTCCTTGTAAACTGAATTTCAACAATGACTATTTAATCATTGTGAAGGTATACAATGTAAATTTGGACTAAATGGCCTGTGTACTGTAGCTTACAGCTAAAGGTGAGAGAAAGGAGTAGGGAAATGCCATTTTAAACAGTGACAGCTTGGTTTTGAGAAGGAAGACAGGATTTGATTCCACAATGCAAAAAGCACACAGAAGTAATGTTTTTCTGACAGGATTTATCCAAATTTTCCCAACAAAGGCATCTATACAAGATGGGGAATATGTAGCTCAACAGACCTGAACAAGAAAAAGATCTTGAAGTAATTGTGGACAATAGGCTAAACATGAGCCAACAATGCAATGCAGCTGCCAAAAGGGCAAATGCTATTTTGGGATGCATTAACAGAAGTATTACTTGCAAATCATGAGAATCAGTAGTTCCTCTATTCTCTTCACTAGTCAGACCTCACCTGGAATACTGTATCCAGTTGTGGACACCAAGATTTAAGAAAGATGCAGATAAATTAGAAAGGGTCCAGCAGAGGGCAACAAAAGTTTGGAAACACTGCCCTCTGAGGAGAGACTGAGGGAACTGGGCATGTTCAGCCTTGAGAAGAGAAGTCTGAGTGGGGACATGATGTCCCTCTATAAGTACCTCAAAGGCTGCCACAAAGAGGAAGGTCAAGATCTCTTCTTACTAATGCCAGAATGTAGGGCACGGAATAATCAATTCAAGCTGCGGCAACCCAGATTCAGGCTGGTCATCAGGAAAAACTTCCTCACTGTCAGAACAATACAACAGTGGGACCAGCTGCCTGGAGAGGTGGTGGGCTCTCCCACACTAGAGACATTCAAAAAGAAACTGGACAGTCATCTGAGTGGTGTAACATGGTGTCCTGCAGCAGTAGGGGGTTGGACTCGATGGCCTTCATGGCCCCTTCCAGCTCTTCTATGATTCAAGTCAATTATCTTTTTCTCCCCCTCCACATTCCTTCAGACAGGCTTCATGGCTCGATTAATGGCCCCTCTGTTTCTCAGTCACTATGTTACTCTTTTTTTTCAAGTTAAGTTGCCCCTCTTGTGTGAATACAGGAATCAAAACTTATTCTTAATTTATCTCAATTTCCTTCTTTCACTGAGTGAATAACAAGTCAATGTTATTTTACACAGTGCTGTTAACCAAAAACTAGAAATGAGGGCAGGCATAAATAGCTTTATTTACTAAACATTTTATCCCACATTTTCCATGCACTGCACCACTCACAGGACCATCTGCCAATATATGGCCGCTGAGAGCCTGAAACTGACAAGAAAGTTTTAGGCAGTTTAAGAACGACATCTCGACCTGATCAGGAAACCATGTTGTATTAGATATGGCATTTCAACCTTGTCTGAAGCTGCAAGAACAGAGAATCTGGGAAGGAAGAGAAAGCACGGGGATCATGCATGCTGGACCAGTGTGCAGTTTGAAGCTCCACGATTTAAGAGAGATGCAGAGAAACTGGAAAAGGTTCAGAGGAGAGCAACAAGGATGGTACCTCACTGCAGAAGCTGGACTAGTTGGACCTCAGACAATGGGACAGTTGGAGTGACAAAAGGAATGGTTAATTTCAGAAAGAAACAGCCTCAGTAGTACCTTTTCATATCCTGACACGGCTGTTAATAAATGTGTTGCCAGGCAGAGAGGGAACAGGTGATAAACAGTTTCTCAGACACCATCTTGCAATAACTCTTTCAGCTGAGACACAGGGAATATGGGCGCGATCGCGGGCGCAATCATGCAGGGAAGGCAGGCGTGATTGCAGCCATCTCCCCACTGAGTACGCCTGCGCTGGCTCAGAGCTTTTGGACTCGCTTGGAGATCATTTTCTCTGCACGAGTCCAAAAGCTCTGAGGCGGGCCAGATAAAGGAACATGGTGGGCCATATCCAGCTCGCGGGCCCTAGTTTGACTACCCATGACCTAGATGTTTGAGCTAGAGAGGACTGTGCTTTCAGCAGAGCTATCATTGCCTCGTTATTTCGTTGAGGAACATCATCCTCCTCCTTGAGGTAAGCTTGCCTGTCGCCCACATGTGTGATGCACAGAGAGACCACGAAGAATAAAGGTGACCACTTGAAGAATGACAGTTCCAGGTAAGGAGATCTGCCTTTTATTGAAAATTGCAAAAAAACCTAAACGTATAAATTGGCTGTACATGGTGACTGTGGCAGCTGGTCCTGACTGGAGATAGGCTCACTCTGTATTGTTTGTGGCACCTACAATAAAGAGTCTTTTAAAATATAAAACGACTTGCTGATGTTGCCTTTCTCTCTCACTGTCAGACAATGTCCTCAACACCTCAGTGAGTCTTATGCTCATCCACAGTTGTAGGTTTGTGGAGAGAAGATCCTATGAAGAAGGAATGGAGATGCACTGCAGTCATGACAGTTAAAAGGAAGGAATTTTTCTCACAGCACAGATTTAAACAATGAAATTTGCTGCCATGTGGTTGCCACTGACTTGGATGGCTTTCAAAGGGAATTAAACAAATTTATGAAGGATAAAGCTAGCAATGGCTACTAGTCAAGATTACTATATATATAGCTTGTTGTGAACTGTGCGGAATGCTTTGGCTGTTGGGTGGTACAGGTGGTGGTGGTGGTGGTGATGATGATGATAAACCTCCAGTCTCAGAAGTTACAACACTGATACTACTGCATATTAATTGCTAAGGAACATGAGCAGGAAGGTTGTTGTATTTTTGGGTGTTGCATCCTTTTGGGCTCTGCAGGCTTCCAGACAAAGAAATGGAATAACAATCCAGGTTTCTTCCTCTAAGCAGTATCAGTCTCATCAGCATTTCTTTGCTTAATGATCTTTATAGTGCCACATAAGTCTCTGAGCATACGCAAAATGGAGTGTTGAACCCTATTCATTTCCCAAAGCTCTCCTTATGAGCCCTTCTGTGCCGCACCCCTGGAGGAGGCATGCTATAAAAATGGGCACACCTTCATTCCTCCTGTTGTGGCCCTAACTGGACTTCACTTTGGTGCTGGCAGCTAGCCACCGGGTCCATCTCCTCAAGGGCTGGGGGGGGGGGGGTCCATTGGAGGAGCTTCCCCTGTCAATGACCCTTCCCTCAGGCTGTGACTCCCCAACATTTCCAGCGTCAGATTGATCTGCCTCCCACCTGCCCTTAGGCTAATCTAAGAGAGAAGAAATATCTATGTCAATTCTATATTCCCAATAAGAGCTTTGAAAATGTGCATGTGTTCTGTGCTTCCCAATTTCCTGAGTGGTAGGAAGAGTTTTGTTCTTGTTGTGAGAAGGAGCAGTCTTTTACAGAGACAAGTTTCCGGTGAGAATGGTGCACCATCAACTTGTAATGCTTTTGTAATATATACACATATATAGACAAGATGTGAAGCAACTGTATGCCCTTCGAGCCCACGAGGTTGCTGTTACTTCCTCCACCTCTTCTGCTTTTGCTTCTTGGATTTTTATACCACCTTTAACAGTTTCCAGGGCATTTTGCAGGAATACAAACAAAACAATATAGCAAACCCTAAAAATCCAATGCAGTCTTAACGTAATATTATGGCACCTGGTAAAAGCAGCATTTAAAAGAAATTAAAACAGGTTAAATGCCTAACAGAAGAAGGTGTTCATTTGGATGTCCCCTTTCTCGGACTGTGAGCCCCCCAACATTCTCAGACTTGGGTTGATTTCTTTCCCCACCTGCCCTTGGGCTAATCTCTCCCACTGCTACTTCCCGTAGAATCCCAGGACTTTAAACTGCAGCTGGAGACTGCACCATTTCAAGAACAGTCTCACCCTCATAATCAGAAATTGTATCATCTGTGCAAGGAGTCTCCCATAAGCTCTCTGAGGTTTGACCGGATGTATGTGCATGACACCTTGTATCATCTACAGAATCATAGAATAGTAGAATTGGAAGGGGCCAGAGGGCCCTCCACTCAGGGCAGGAATCCAAGTTAACCCATCCTTCTCAGATGGCTGCCCAATTGCATCTTGCATGTCTCTAATGTGGGAGAGCCCACAACCTCCTTAGGTAATTGTTTCCGTTGTTATACTGCTCTAACAGCCAGAATCTTGGCGGAATCTGGCTTTATGTAACCTTGACCCCATTGTTCCATGTCCTGCACGCTGGGATGACCAAGAAGAGATCCTGGACTTCCTGTTTGTGACCGCGGGCGTGCGGGGTGGGGGAAAGCGGGCACAGGCACCCTCGGGCAGGGAACATGGGGGCAACCTCGGCCATCTCCCTCCCCCCCCCCCCCCCCCCCGAGCATGAGCATGGCCATCTCCCCCCTCAGCACCACCGCGATTGCGCTCATGCAGGTAAGACGGACACGCTCGGGATCGTCACCCGATGGAGAGCTCACAACCTGTGGCAAAATTTTTATGAAATTTTTGTTCGCAACCCGATTTGGTTGTGAACTGAGGCGTTCATGAGCCGAGGTACCACTGTAAATCCCTGGTGAAATATATAGGCTGTTTTAACTGCCTTTAGACATGGGGAATTGGATTGTAATATATAAAAATTAAAATATAAAATTACATTCATAAATTACTACACCCAGTTCCCCTTTCCAAAATACAATTAGGAATAGGTATGTAATTGAGATTTTTTTTAAAAAGCGTATGGAATCTTTTTCAGAGTCTCTTCCTAAATGCAATGCAGAAAAATACTTGAAAGGAACTATATTTTTAGCAGGAAAAGTACTGACCTAAGAAGGGAAAGATATGACCTCATGTTCACGTGAAAAATACACTCAAAAACTTAATATTAGTTAAGCGATTGGCTCTTCGTTTCGTGTGACAAAAATTCTGTCCAATCACAAGCGAATACAGTGTGGCGGGTGGAGCCGGGGGTTTGTTAGATGACTTTTTTAAAGAGACGGATAGGACGTTTACCAATTACAAAGCAACAATGTGGTATAGGGCGGGAATTATACTGTATGACCGATCTCCGAAGGTCTCCGTTGGCTGGATAAGGAACCGAGGGCTGACCGAACGACAGGTCGAATTGGAATCCAGACCGGAAATAGGCATTAGCCTATCACTATGAGCTTTTGGCAGATTCGCTTTCTCTATTGGCCTTGGCTAGGAAATGACAGCTTTAAAGAGCAATAGCGATTGCCATTGACACAAGCAGGGCGGGTCGAAGAGTAGAGCGGGGTGTCGCTGGGGCCGGATGAGGAAAATCCGAGGGGGAAGTTTGGTGGTTGTTGCCTGGGGTCGTGAGGGGAAGAGGAGGCGTGTGGGGGGATCTGCCCCCCTTTAGTCCGTTTCAATGGGCAACCGAGGAATGGAGGAGCTGATTCCGTTGGTGAACAAGCTGCAGGATGCTTTCAGCTCTATCGGGCAGAGCTGCCACCTCGACCTGCCGCAGATCGCCGTGGTGGGCGGCCAGAGCGCGGGGAAGAGCTCCGTCCTCGAAAACTTCGTCGGCCGGTCAGTCACTCAGACAGCTCGCTCCGGGCGAGGGAAATGAAGGGGAAGAGGGTGTCTGAGGCGCGAACTGGGTAGGCAGATTCGGGCAGAGTGGCTTCTAGTACCCTGCGCACTCTGCGGAAAGGCCTTCCGTGACTGTCGTGCGCACCATTCCGGCAATTTTGGAACCGCTTCTGACAGAGCGACAGCGGTCTCGGCGTAAGCGCTGTCTGTGAATAACTTCCTTTTCCAAAGTGTATCCTGTTCCGTGAATGCCGAATTTTACGCCATCTGCGCTGGCTGGGCAAGAGGCGTAAATAGAGTCCTATGAAAGGCTGTAGTCTTAGCTGGAGGAGGGGAGCAATTGTGACTTGTTACGGCGAGCTTGTGAATGGCGAAGTGTGATGTTTCTGTGTCCGCGAATGATCTGGCAGGGAATTTAGCTTGCGCTTGTCTCTACGGCCCGATGGAGATGGGTGAGAGGTTCCCAAGGAGTTCACACAATGCCCCCTCTCCTCTTACTTCGTTGGGCTTGTCCAGAGCTAATTGCAGGGTGGTGTCGAAAGGAGCATAGCGACCTTTGTGCTCCCATCCTTGCTTTATTCAGCAGGCGTGGCTTCTCCCCCCCCCCCGCCCCCCGTAGACATTGACCTCGATTGCACCCTGTACGTTCATCATTTAATGCCATTCAGCTGAAGTGTGAATGAATCCCACTAACAGTACTAGATCTTTTGTCATTGGTGTTATGTCTCAGGCTGGCTTCACTCATACATGTTTGATGTTGCAGTTGTCAGGGCACTGATAGGAATGTATGGAGCAGCCTCTCTTACATGAAATCTCAAATTCCCACTTTCTTAGAGGTGGTGTTGTATGAGGACAGTCTCAAATGAGTAGACCAAGGATAGACAACCAAGTGCCATAATTTGGAGTACAACCCCCTTGTCTGAACTTTGGTATCTCTGTCACCTATGCCAGCCTTCCTGAGGTGCCCTTATTGCTTGCCCACCTGTGGAAGTACAGCCTAGTGAGGCCCCAAACCTCTAGAATGGGTTCTTAGTGAGGGGAGGTCTATCAGACCTCATGACTGTAGGCTTTCAAGAAGGCTTTGAAAACTGACATGTTGCTCTATTTCTTTATCAGATTGTTTTGCTCCGTGGCAGTGATTATGCTGGTAGTTTTTTTTTTTTAAGTAATGTTTTGTTGCTGGTGTCTGTTGTTAATGTTTGTTGCCTTATTATTGTTTGGTCTTTTAATATAGGAATTTTAATGCATACCTTGCTTTGGAAGGCTCTGAAAGATGATCTCAAAATATTTTAAATAATAAATAAGTATGCTGGTTAGGGAAGTGGGAATTACAGTCCAAAAATATCAGCAGGCTATTTAACCCTGGACTAGACTGCGATGTGTGATGTACCTGAGCAAGATATGTCCTCATTAAAACCTGCTTTAAGGAGAAGTAAAAGGATGGGAGAAGTTATGACTGCTGTGCTTCTTTGTAGTTCTGTGGACAGAGAAGTAATGTTAAGTTGGTCTTCCACCTGTGCACTTTTGTGCCAAGAGGAAGAGTTAGAGGTAAACCTGACAAGCCAATCGTCCTTAGTAAAATGAGTTAAAGACTCTGGCCTGAATTATTTGTTCCATTTGCTATTTTGTCTTTAAGGTTTAAGGCAATGTGTAATACAACATATAAACGACATATAAAACGAAGATAAAGCAATATATGCCACCAAACTGATTGCTTCTCCCTTTCCACTCTGTCTCCAGTGCATATTTATCAGCTGAGTATTGATTGCAAGCCACTGGAATATAGGATGCTCTGGTGTGGTCAAAGATACTATTATGACAGGCGTCTTACTCCATTTTACAAAATTTACCTGATAATCTATGGGAAGTAAGGTGTTTTATCAGACAAACTTCAGATAGGTGGTAATGATGGTCATAACACACAATACAGATCTAATATATTTTCATTATGTTTGATTCTGCAGCAGCTGAGATAATGAGATTTTTTTCCCTCCAGGGATTATAATGTTTAAACCATTTCCTGAAAAGTAGTGTTCTTTTTCCTTACCAGAGGGCCCTTCATATTGTATCTGCTTTGTCTTTACAACTTGCCACTTGGGAATTGTTGTTTAAGGTGTGGTTAGGAAACCTTAGTCAAAGGTTGTTTTCTTCCACTCATTACTGTATGAGGAAAATGTTGATGGAACGTGATTGTGACAGAAAAGGTCACTTGGTTAAGTTTTCAGTCTGAATATACTGGGCACACACTGATTTTGAATAGGTTAAAACACATTTAATTAAAAAGTATATCTAAATAAATCTTTACCTAAATATATCAACCCCTAGCAATAGCTTGACCACCATCCTAAGTGTGTATTTTGATCTGATATTGATATTCCAGAATGCTTTAATCACACTTAATGTATTTTCTATTGCATTTGGATCTCTTGGAGAGGCAGCTCTACGTGCTGCCCTTCCCAAGGTTGTATGGGCTGTTGCCATAAATGTCTGGCTCCCATTCAGTTTTTGTTATAATTGTGCTATTTCTGTGTGTCACCATACATTATATATTACCATAATTGTATGCAAAGTGGTTCCTTATTTGTAGAAAAGGAGTTTATTAAAATTACTGTGTTGTATGATGTACCATCCAGACCTCTGATATGTATTAAACTGGGCTGCTATTTTACACACAGATGGTACTCTGGAAATTTTACAGGTTCTGTGTGTAAGGCCAGTTTATAACTGTTCCATTGTGAGATAGATTCATTGCTCTGTTCTCAGTTGCCTGTTCTGTTTCTTTTCCCTCTTAAGTTGTGAGAATGGAAACATACAATCCAAACTCATCTTGAAGCAAAAAGTCACAATGCACAGAATTGTAGTTCTTTTGGTACTTTAAAATATTGTTATGGACTAGATCACTTCCTTGTCGTGGCGAAGGGGCTTGTGTAGCTCAATGAAGCTATGAGCTATGCCTTGCAGGGGCACCCAAGACTGACAGGTCATAGCAGAGAGCTCTGACAAAAGGTGATCCACTGGAGAAGGAAATGGCAACCCACTCCAGTATCCTTGCCATGAAAACCCTATGGACAGTCCCAAAAGGCAAAAAGATATGATGCCAGAACATGAGCCCCTCAGGTCGGAAGGTGTCCAGTGTGCTGCTGCTGAAGAGCAGAGGGCTAGTGCTAGTAGCACCAGAAAGAATGAAGCAACTGGGTCAAAGCTGAAGGGACACTCAGCTGCGGATGTATCTGGTGGTGAAAGGAAAGTCCGATGCTGTAAAGAACAATACTCCTTAGGAACCTGGAGTGTAAGATCTATGAATCAAGGTAAGCTGGATGTGATCAAACACAAGATGACAAGACTGAACATTCACATCTTGGGAATCAGTGAACTAAAATGGACAGGAATGGGTGAATATAATTCAGATGCCCATCAGGTATATACTGTGGACAAGAATCCCTCAGAAGAAGTGGAGTAGTCTTCAAAGTCAATAAAAGTAGGAAAAGCAGTATTGGGATACAATCTCCAAAATGACAGAATGATTGAATCCAAGGCAAACCATTCAACATCACAGTAGTCCAACTCTATGCCCCAACCACTGATGCTGAAGAGGCTGCAGTTGTCCAGTTCTATGAAGGTCTGCAACACCTTCTAGAAATAACACCAAAAAATGATGTCCATATCATCATGGGGGATTGGAATGCTAAAGTAGGAAGCCAAGATATAACTGGAATAACAGTCAAAGTTTGTGTGTAGTCTTGGGTCAATCAGAAAGTGAAACTGTAATTTAGATAAACAAACTGTAGTTTCATGTTATGTCAGAACCCAGCCAAAGTGCTATGTCCAATACAGCTGCTAGCAAAATCTAAAAAGCAGCAATGAATAAAATAAATTATCTTTAAAACTATTTTAAGAGCTTATAGTAACGACAGCAGCAATGACAACACCAGAGAGCAATGGGTTTGTCCACTGTCCTAGGTTGGTAACTTAGAATAAAGAATTTCTTGAGAGAGGTTCTTCACCCTGGGGCCAAATGATGAATGTAAATAAGTATGTCTGATATGCCACCTGGATGTTATCTCTTATTGCATTTTGATCCTGCCCCCCTTCAAAGAATGCAGGGCCGTGTATATGGCTTATCCTGGAACACAGACATCCCCTATCATCACAACAGTCTGGTGTAGTACGTTAAACTAAAAGAACATGATTGCCCAAGATAACCTAGTGAAAGTAATAGTTGACTGCAGTTTTGAACCATGGTGACAATACATTTTGAACCTTGGAGACACTATATTATGTCCTTCAAAATCAGTCCTGGATATGCTGGCATATTGCAAGCCGTAGACATAAAAGAGTCTCTTTCGAGTAGTTATAAAATGAGCACACTTATACTGTGAGCTTCAGTCTTATTAATAAGCTAGCTAACATGTCACTTTCAAGCCAATAAGATCTTTTGTTTTTTTCTGAACAAAATGTTTCACATGTTCAATTAGATTATGGTCACACTATAAACTCAAGTAGCTATCTTTAAAAGACCCCTTTGAATAGAAATGTAGGCAGTTTTTAATTTATAATAGATTTGCTGATCCTTATCATATGTTTCAAAGCTCTTAAGCCTTCATAAGATGCCCTTCTAGAGGAGGCTGTTGCCGTCTTTTTCACACTCAGTTTACATCTGAAGGAACAGTTCCATGTTCTCTTTAATATGGACGCTTCCATTCTTACTTTGTGGCATTAGTGTTGTGCTTCAGATTGGCAATCTGAATGACGATGAGGCTGTTGTACTTTGGGCCACATCATGAAAAGGCAAGACTCACTGAAGGAGACAATAATGCTAGGAAAAGTCAAAGGCAGAAGAGATGGATTGTTTCCATAAAGGAAACCACAGCATTACATTTACAAGAGCTGAGCAGGGCTGTCAAGAGCAGGATATTTTGGAGGGCATTCATTTGTAGGGTCACCCCAAGTCAGAACATATGACAACAATAATGCAGCTCACATATTACTGGTAGATT